CAGAATAAGCCGTTGCTACGATTGTCGGTAAAATCGAAGCTTATGAGACAGAAGAAAGATGCCGATGCATCAGTTGACGCCAGGGGTTACTCGACGTAAATCTCATGTTTTATTAAAGAACAATTTCATTCAGGCGCTAAAAAGGGCGGAAGCCTGATGTGATCGTAGATTTAGGGGGTGATCATCTTCGGTTAACGTTGAGGTTGTCATAGAAAGGCAAAAAGCGTAAATATACAAAATAATTGATGATGCATTAAAATTAGTAAGGAATCACATATCTTATATTTTTTAAATAGTTTATTCTTGGCATATTTGAAAAACATAGTGAAAAGATACCATTAAACGTAATGTCTTGACCATATTGAAGATTTGATCAGTGAAACAAATGAGTACGTATTAATACTTAATTTTAAAGGGCCATTATTCTTTTTTTTTTTTGAACCAGAGTATGAGGAAGAAACGTCCTTATTGTGAACAAATTGAGCATCCCATTGCGATGAATATAAAGCTTGGAGCGGTTTAAGAATGACGTATGCTTAATATTTGATAATACTAAGACTTTTAATGTCAAAAGGATGCCGATACAGAAATGATGCAGGTAGGATACTAATATGTATTTATAATAGAGATCGCAAACCTTAAAATTATAGTTGCGTTATTTCATCCTAATCCTACATATTTCTGTATATAAGGAAATCGAAGCTTGGACAAATAATACAAAATTAAAGCTGTGGGGAACAAAATATAAATGTAAAATACTGGAATCGTGCAGTAGGGGATGGCAAATGATTTAAAGCATGATCTTAAAAAACATGGTTTTTGGTTTAAACCATTTGACTTAATCTTTATTATGCCGCAATTCAATATGATTATAAGATTAATTTGTTTAGCGTTAGTAAATTTGAAATTAACAATTTTGCATCTTAAATTAAGTTCTTTATAATTATAAATACTTTTAATAAATATGAAAGAATTTTTTTCAATTCGAATGTTTTCTCGAAACGATATTATGGAACTTTTCCGGTACAGAAATTAACCAATCAGGAATAATTATTTCAGTCAAACAATGTTTAACCCGTTTTTTTGTTTCAGGTAAAAAACACATTTTAAGGGTAGGGTGTACGTAGGTCATTTTTCATATAGTACCCTAGCCCAGGGTTTAAAATTGGCTTGCACAAGATGCACATTTGCAAGTGTTTTTTTTGGATTTTTAAAAAATCTCTTAAGTGTGCAAGTAAAGCTTTTTAAAAAAGTTGCACAAAATACATTTGTGCAAGTGATTTTTTTTTTGAATTTTAAACGAAATTATAGCAGATCAGGTATGGTATAGGTGAGCAGATCAGTATAGTACAGGCCAATTTTTAAAAATATACTATACGGATCTGCAAAATTATGGAAACTAACGCTTGAATTATATTCAGAATTATTTGGAAAAATAGAAAAAAGAAGCGGGTCATATTTTTTTTTTAACAAATTGCAAAAAATTTGGTCAGAGGTTCAAATTTGAATTTTAGTAAATTAATTAATATTAATTTTTAAGTTTACTAAAATGCACTTATGGTGTTCAATACTATAGATCTTTATTTTTCAAAAACATACTAAGTAAACAGAATCGAATATTCTAAATAAAAATATTTAGAATCTCTAAAAACTTTATAAAAACTAAAATTAGAACTTTATATCTAATATATATAATAATATATAAAAAAAAAATTTATAAAAATACACTTTAATCTTAAATTTTATTAAAAACAATTATGGATGATATATAGAATAATGGGAAAATCGGGTACGTATTTATTAAATATCACTTAAAATTAATCACATCGTACA